AACAAAGAAAACATATGCACACAGCCTCTTTCACGCTCGAGCTAACGCCACCACACAAAAAAGGTTGTTGTAGAACCCACTCTCAGTGAACCCCGTTGGCTGGACCAGGGATCGAGAACTTAGCAAAGTGATACGTCTGACCTCTTTTAACAAGAATATTGGTTAGTACTGAATCCTTTCCGTTTTGCAAATCGAAGTGGACAGAATTTAATTACTTAAAAAAAAAAGTTTGAAATAAATAACTCAAGAGCGTACTGAATCACATCCGAAAATTCCAGGATATCGTCGGATAATACTAAATCATTTCAGAAAGTTTCGTAATCTCTTTGGAAAGTACTGAATAATTCTAGAACGTTTGTTATCACCGCAAGAAACTGAACTTCAATCTTTGTCAAGCTGGTGTAGTTACCCGCACGCAGAGGATGTTCATTTATGACGTGCTGAGTAACCATAATAATGGCAGTAGTTTGTTTCAGAACATCAATAGCCACGCTCCCATTTGCCAACTTTGCAACATTTACATTTTATAGACTTCTTGGACAACCTGGTCTATACCAGGTTGCTTTTTAACACCGTACCTCATACTGATATACTAATCCTCTGGATTGATGTTGTAGACTATTTAAAGACGTGTATGACTTCTTCTTCTTCCTTGCATTTCAAGCTTATTGTGTATCGTATATTAGCTTATTGCGTGCTCTCAACTTAGTGCAACTGAATGCACTTCCACAGTTATTAATTGAGAGCTTTCGATGCCTGTACCATTTTTGCATTAGCAAATATAATTGTGTGGCAAGTACAATCATACTCTATGCCCAGGGAAGTCGAGAAATTTTCCAACCCGAAAAATTCCTAGACCGGACCGGAAATCGAACCCAGCCACCTCCAGCATGGTCTTGCTTTGTAGCTGTGCCTTTACCGACTGAGCTAAGGGAGCCCCATAAAAAGACGTGTATGAGGTATTTGATTTTAATAATAGTTTTCTAGTTGTTATGAATATAATTTAGTATTTTTAAACAGTCTACCAAAGATGATGAACAAATGATCTACATTGACGTTTTCTAATGACACACCATTATTTATTGACCTCGAAGATAACAGTTTGAGTTCCCTGCACATTCTTAAGTAGGTGTTTGACCAATTTCATTTCATTCTCCTGAGATTTTAAAAATGTGGCCTGGTGTATAATATGATTCTCGTTTCGCAAATTTTGTTGAGTTTGAAAAAACGTTAATAGATCCATCTTCCCAATTTTCATGGGTTCATAGAAGATACGAAGGGTGGTTAGGTTTTCCTGTCCTCTGTTGCTTTACTTTTTGTTACTTGATCCTCCAAACGACTCATCTTATTTACATGTAGATCCCGTATACGGAGTGATTGGTACAGTATGTCCCCGCTCTTCTATTTTTGTGCCTCAATGGTTCACGCTTGATGGTTATGCTTTCCACACTACAATTCGGGAGCGCATTAGATTCCACTTGGAATAACAAATTGTAACGTCGAAAATAGCTACTATTTTTCGAATAAACATTCCATACGACCTATTGAGCCAAAAGATGAAGGATGATGCTATTTTTGCATACTTTTGTGCCAAAATTTGTTTTTTTGACGTAGGACTACGTGTTTAATTTGTGTGGTCACATTAAAAAAAAACTCAAAATTCGTTAATATAACGAAAAATCCCAAACACGGACGTAACGATAGAGCGTAAATCGAACACACGACACATTGCGCATACTCACATGAGCGAGTTTACCGCTCACCATTTCACCAATGAATGGAAGAGAGAAAAAAAGCAGCGGTAATAAAATCGCTCTCTTTATAGTTTTCTTCGTCATTTACTTTCGAGCAACGGACGGATAAGCGTCTGACCAGTGATGCCACATATACAGATTTATCTGTAATCATACAGATTTTTTTTTTGTTATATTTTAATACAGATATCTGTATACACAGATTACAGATTTTTTGAGAATTTACAGATCTCACAGACTTTTTTTTAAATAAAAATAATACACTTCATTTTCTTTTATATATCTTATTTCGTTTCTTCCTATTGGCCAGGTTGAATTCACTTTATAAGCATCTAACCCAAATCGAATTTTTCATAAAATAAAATATGACTGTATTATCTTCGATAATTTTTAATAAATTTCTGATATTAAGATGTTGTTATTGATTGCAGTTTGTGACTCAAAGAGTCGACTGGATATTTTGATGTTTAAATAGCGTTATATTAGAAAAAATTTAGTAATGTATGCAATTCGAGTAAACTTCCAGTAAAAATTTTGAGTTAAAACTGAATGAAGATTAACAGAGTTGAAAAAAAAATCTAGTTTCTAGATAATAATTTACGTAATCTCAGGTATGACACAATCTAATTCTAGGGAAATGTGATTCTTACTTCATTAAGAAAATTTTCAGCCAACTGCAGATTTGCCTTTCTTTACTGGAACAATACAAAACACCTCAAATATCAAGGATGTTGGTTTTAGATTTTTTAGAACTCGATATCGAAATATTGAACCATTGTTAACATGAATTTCATGGCTACTATGGTACCGATTTTATATGGAATTGTTGTTCTATAACTCAATGGTCCCTTCATTATCGAGTTGTTGAGAGTCACTGTAGGCAAATTCTTTAAAAAGCATATTTTGTCATTTTTCTAGCTCCTAACCTTTGAAGAAACTCTTTCAGAATTATGTATGAACGCAGTGAAAATTTACGTAGATCCGCACTATGACAATAATAAATAAATGATACAGTCAGATACAAATTAAAAAGATTTTTTGCGATGAAAATACAGATTGAAATTTGAAAAAATGTGGCAACACTGCGTCTGACACGACGTATGAGTGGAACAGCACACATCGCACCAATACGAAGACGACGACGACGACGAATGCACTCACATTGTCCATCTCTTGGATTTCAAAAGGCCTTTTTCAGGGCCACTATATTTCTGTGCAATAGAATTTCTTTTAATATCTCTAGATGGTGGGTAAAACAGGTTCACAAAATTGAAAAACTTTTTTTTTATAGAGAGAAATAACAGCAAAGAATCATCAATCAGTGCCAATAGCAATGTTTGGAAAATCACTATCAGCTTTCGGTCATTGAGTCTTAGTACCTATTCGTTCCGTACCCTCCAACTCCAACAACCCTTTCGATGGACACCAGCAAAAAACTACAAACGGCCCTTTTCAGGCCCACCAATTCAAATACAGAAGGAGTAAAAATAAGAGATTTTCGAATAATTAAATGAACTAAGAGCAAACACGTTTGTTCCGACCACTCACGGCCTTTGCGCTACGTATTTCAGATCTTAGAGGAAAAGTATTCATCAACAATTTCTCTTACCATCGGCCTATACGTAGGTAGTAATATCATCATTCAGAATTCAATGCCATAAACAAACTTTTAAAATTACAGGTATCAATAGTCACTATTTTTTCATCAGTTACGCGGTAGCCGTCCCAAACGATCAAATGGACAACAGCAAAAAAAATAACAGCCCTTCTCAGGGCCACCATTTGAAAAACAACCGGCCTTTTTCAGGGCCTCCAATTCATAAACGGAAAGAGCTAAGGTAATAGATCATCGACCAATTAAAAGAAATAAATGCTCAACATATTTGTTCCGTTCACTAGCCATCCTACGTCAAGCTTCCGTTCGTGCCCCTAGGTACAGACCCTTCTACTTTTATTTTATAAATTTGAAATGAAAATGAATTTCTTCTAAAAGTTCTTTCCCTCCATTCATCTAGTACGTTTAAAATTTAACGTATCGTAGCAAGTTGTTGCCATCATATTTTGAGAGATTGTTGTGAAGGGGGGAGGGGGAAAGGTTGTTGTGAAAGGGGGAGGAGGTTTTACATGGGTTTTACATATACGTTTTTTCAAGTCTCATTCCTGATTGTGGTGGACACGCCGTGATCCACCTTTAGCCGCTGACCTAGTCCTGCTAGTGCCACGCCGTCCGAAGCGGTAATGAGCATAGGCATGAGAGCAGCGCGGATTCATATCTTTTCAGGTTCAAGCAGAATGATGGGCAGCCAAGTCGTATTCGTTTATGATGACTGGGTTTGGGAAAAAGGCTTATTTCATGAAATCAGTGATAAAATTATCATTTGTACATTTTCAATAGTTTTAATACAGAAAAATTTGAAAAATATTTATTTCAACAGGTTCGTAATGTAATATCCTATCGATTGGCGTATTTGGATTTTAATTTCATCTATAAATGACAAAGTTACAAGCGTTCAAAACATAACACTCCTTCACCACACATATTTTTTGATTTGCACCCCTGTATAGTCGACAAAGACGTAGTTCTACGTCAAAACTTCAATCTGAATTGTATATCCAAGCGACTATGATATCACCATGCAATAGGTTGGTTTTTTATCGATATGGTGCTGACATCATTTCTTAAATTAATCAACCAACTGAATGAAATTCGTGTGAATAAATTCTTGCAATAACTCTGTTATCTTTTGAAAATCATCATCAATCAAGAGCACATGGAATTTATTATACCGAATCGCAAAAAATTACGCTTCCTAATACAATTAACCCATTCATGGCCGTGCTTTAATTTAATAATGCTGTGAAGGTGACAATGAAAATGGTAGTTTTCAAATTCTCTACCTATTAAATATTGAATATTTTCCCAAAGGCTATTTGCAGATAATCATTTCAAATGTGTTAATGATTTTATTTCCTGAGATCAATGGCATTTTTATGTTTGCAGCATGCAGGTTGTCAACAGGTTAACGATAACTACGAATATAAATAAAACTCTTTATCCGTTTTGCAAATATTCGTTAGCATAACCCTGTGAATAACACAGCTATTTATTTCTATCATAGGTTAAATCATGGAACTATTGAAAACAGGTACGTTTACATTATACACGTATGCATATTATATTTAATCAATTGAACATATTCTAAAACAGTGAATCTGATGTTCATCATCCTTTCCGTGTCACATTATATCGGATCAGCAGAAATCATACATATGTACAAGTTCTATGAAAAATCCTAAACAAATTTGTCCGTCAGATGACTTCGCTTTGCTTCCGGCTGAAGAATGTAATCAATTTTACCTTTGTTCAAATGGTGTGGAGACACTGCTGGAATGTGATGAGGGTGAAAACTTCAATCCAATTACTTCTTTTTGTGATCCCGCTTACGAGTGCGAGGATAATGAGCAAACAACAACGGCAGCAATAACAACAACAACACCAATAGCTCCTACAACTAGCTCCCCTGTAACAGTTTCGCCTCCATCTGATGGTCTTCTGGATGTTTTGCTGCCCATGGACCCGTGCCCGCTGGTGGGAGTTGCCTATCGAATTCACGAGCAAAATTGTCGCCTCTATTACTACTGTCGAGATGGCATAGATCGATTACAGTCCTGTTCAGTTTTCCGTCGGTTTGATATGTTTACTGGTCAATGTATGTTTCCGGATGATGCTACTTGTTTTCCTGGAACAGATGTTTTCTTCGAGATCGAGACGGACTCTGATGTAAATATTATTGATTGATTCATTTAATTAGATGACTAGAAATTAGATAATTTGAGCATCATGACATTGGAAGGTGGAAAAGCAAAATCGAACAGTTTGAGTAAAACAATTCCATTATATGCACTATTAATTTCATAAATAAATCAACATTTAAAAACTGCAATTAAACCTACACAGCAAAAAACTAATTTTGATATCACATATCAATCGTGTTAAAAATATGGTGCAATATTACTTGCCAAAAACGACAAAATTATTATAAATACAGTGCGTGTACTGACATTACACTGCTTTCACTGCATTTGTTTATTTTTGTGGCCTTAAAAATTAAATGGGATTTTAGACATGATTTTTTTTTTCCTATGGTTTGTTTTTTCCGTCGATCTTGTTTTCCGTGCTGAGCACCAATGCTACCGACGTGCCAGGAAGGCAGCTCCCACACCTGGACCCTACCTATCGACCCATCAACTCATGAACCGTGATCAGAGATGTTATACCTCAGAACATCCCGACGGCGCCGACTGGGATTGAACCCAGGCCTGCTGAGGTGAGAGGTAATCACACTTACCACTACACCGCCGGCGTAGTGCATCCTCTTGGATGTAATATTAAAATATTTTTTTTGCTGTTTACGATCTTCGAATATCATTTACGTCCCGTGCCCGTAAAGAACAACCTCTTATCAGTGTTTTATCTATAGTAGAGGAACTGAGGGTATGAACATATGAACAATTTCCTTTTCTAACGGTGAAATAATCAAAATTGTGATAATTTAAATAACTGTCCTAGTTTCATTGAGCTGAGTTACTCGATTGATGTGCAACGATTTGTTCCGATAAATTTATATGCTGATTGTAAATGGTCATTGCATCTATTCATACTTTACCAGCTGGAAGATATTCTTCTCAGATTAATACGCGGGTAACTTTTATCTGTTTTAACATTCTTATTGGATCTTCCCTGCTTAAGTCACCTGTTCTGTTGCAATTAGACATATTCAGTCGATTGTGCTTGCATTTATGATTAAAAGTCCGCAATTATTAACATGCTGAAGAATTCGCGATATCAATGCAATCTAAAACAGCAATGGAATGAATGATGGACACGTAAATTCCCATTTGTATACGTGACTCGTATGTGATTGTGGGAAAATGTGATTGTGCTTTGCATAATGCGTAATGCTTCGGACATAGTGGCTTTTTGCTGAATATGGACATCTGGTCAATTGACCTACAATCCTACTGACCTTCTAGAAACGCACTGCATCAGGCATATTAGCTTTGTGTTAATTATTATGCTTTGATTTGAGCTCATTGCAAACCATCTTTCTTACTGAGCTTGTGAATTATTTTTTTTCCGAAATAATGGTAAAGAATAATGAGTAGATGCAAAAAAATATTGACTACACGAAGCAACCGAAGTGCATGAACTGCAAAAAGGAGAATGGAAAAGAGGCTTCAAATGCCCACCATACAAAAAGGCGATCACGGGCCAACAGTAATGGAGGTAGCCCAAATAAACCACAATCATTGCACAGCAACTATTGTGGCTGCCGACAACAGAAACAAAGTACAATGTTGCAACACACTAAGAATATTTCACAGATTTCTGTAAAATTTTACAGCTGAACGTCCGGTAAACAGTTTGGTGATTTTTCACAGTTTTCCTGTGATTTTTCAGAGATATCCGGTATACACTCCCGGAAATAAATATAAAGACACATAAAAAAGCATGGCGCCTACCAAATATAAGAATCAGAGGGATTCTAAACCATGTATTTTTGGAAGCCACATTATCATGCTACAATATCACCCATAGAAATAACCAATTGCATCATGTACGCAGGGGAAATAAATGGAAATGTGATTTTCTCCTTCGGAAATAAATATAAGGACGCCATACAAAAATGTATGGAAAATTGGTCATTTTCGAAACATTACTAAGCATATCAACAATTCTTGTAGCACCAAAATAACCAAAGAGCTAGTTAAAGTAATAATTAAACTTAATTTCTGAAACGTTTTAAGCAGATCCAATCGCTAGAAGTTATCGAAAATTACAAAAAATCATTGGTTGATCAGCGATGATTAATTAGGTGATACATACATTTAGGCGTTTTCCGAGTTAGAATGTGTCTTGAGATGTTCAAACAAATTAATAGGAAGATGACCTGTGTTTATTTAGTTACACTAAAACTGATATCTAGTAAAAGGGAGGGGGTGACGGGCCTACGCGCTCTTCCCATCTTCCTATTAATTTGTTTGAACATTTCAAGACAAATTCTAACTCGGAAAACGCCTAAATGTATGTAGCTCCTAATTGATCATCGGTGATCAACCAATGACCAATTTCCCATACATTTTTGTATGGCGTCGTTATATTTATTTCCGAAGGAGAAAATCACATTTCCATTTATTTCCCCTGCGTACATGATGCAATTGGTTATTTCTATGGGTGATATTGTAGCATGATAATGTGGCTTCCAAAAATACATGGTTTAGAATTCCTCTGATTCTTATATTTGGTAGGTGCCATGCTTTTTTATGTGTCTTTATATTTATTTCCGGGAGTGTAGCATAGGCCAACGGAATCCTGTGGAAATGCGGAGGACGAGAACTAGCGAGCATCATAATTTGGAGTAAGAAAATGGTCAATTTTATTGGAGAATCAATCCCATTTATTCGCTAAATGCCATCTAAATGTTTTATTTGGCAATTACAATTGATATGCTTAACTAAAGTAGCTAAATTCTTGTTCAAATTTGAAAAATTAAAAAGGCAAACAACAAACCTGATTTCGAAATACTGCGTGGCAACCTGCCCATACTGATTTCATACAGAGAAAGCATACATTTTGGCTTTTGTCTATGCTCTTCCTCTATTAAATTTCAATGGTTCACGCCAAACGGTTATGCTTTCCACACTACAATTCGCTGGGCGCATTATGCCCCACTTATAGTAACAAATAGTATTGTGGAAAGTAGGTACCTAAGTAACACAAAGTCATAGAATTATGTTGAGAAAACTTCTATACAACCAAACCCGGTCATACAAAGGTTATATAAACTGCTATAGAACATGTGTGCTGCTTGGGTAACTAGGTTAGGTGTTCAAGTAATAGTAGCGTACCTATGATTTTGGTATGGTGGTTGTGCCGTGAAGAAAACTCGGATAAGATTATTTTCAATCGGTAGCTCTTCTAAAATAAAGCATGTTTGTATATTTCAAACTTAAAATTATTTACCCGAAAAATGACGGAAAACATTAATTTTTCTTAAGATTTTTACTCCTTTGCACCTATAGTTAAGGTAGTATTCCTATAGTAGTGGAATCCATGAGAAACAAAAAAAGCTTTCCACTATTATAGGAACCAAAGTTTGCATTTACCACAACTACTGGAACAGGACGAGTTTCTTAAAAAATGTATGCAATTTTATTACAATAGGGGAAACGCTTCCCAAGTAACAATTCTGCAATCATTTGGCATCCACTCTGATTTATGATGGTTTTATAATGGCAATGAATAATCCATTTAGTTTAAATACAGCATTTCACAGCGTAAAACGTTCCTGCTTAGTAGTTCACCTTTTCGCTGTTTTAGAAACCTTTTACAGTCGGCGAGAAGTCAAAAACTATCTTGCTTTAAAATTAAATTTATAGTAGTTCTCAATCCCACCATAAAACTGTTCTATAAATCAATCATTAACTCAAAACAGCATTTTTTTATTAATGTCTTGATAAAATACTCTATAAACCTGTTCTATCATTATCAAAGCAATCATAAAACCATTTGGTTTTAAATGAGAGTAAAAGGCATATATTTTAGGCATTTAAAAGTGTATCATAAATTCTCCTCTGTTTACAAATTAAACTTTAAGGATGGAACCTCATAGTGAACAAAAACCAAATTTATGACAAGGATATCTCGATGGGTAAACGAAGTTGGAGGAAAATTTCAAGTGATGCTAACGACCGAAGGGAAGTCGATTTCAGTAAAATTTAGTTCTTTAGTAGAACCAGCACGTCCGGCGGAACGGGTACCATCAACGACTGAGCATCTGGTCGAGAAGAGTGAAGTGAGCGTGGTCCTCAAATTCATAAAACATTGTTAAAACAGCCTGAAAACAGACCAGCCTTCTCCAGACCTTGCGAATAGATGAAGATCAGAATAACTTGCGTCAGTACCGATAGCAAACTACTGAAACTGTCAGTTTGCGGACACTAGTTGGTTTCCGATCCATAGTTGCGATTTTATTCGGCGAAAAAATTCATTCAACCGTATATGCCTGCATCGTTTGATGGTGCACCTACAGAACCATCCGGAAGATGGGGATCTTTTCGGAAATGATCGAGGTTACATCTGTGCGAAATGCGAAATGTTATGAACACTTTCTGAGTAACTGCTTCCTAGCCATCGGGAGAGAATCGTCTGGAAGAACGCTGAATCGCACAGCGCAACTATCGAAAGATAAACAAACTTTGACGTTTAACATTTTGTAGGCAACATTACCGCCATAAATGCTGCCATAAATCTGAACGGGTTAGGATCAAGCAAAATGGCTTTAGATAAATACAATTCAGTCTACAAGTTTTCTTCATAAAAGCCATTTCAAAACCTTATGAATTTGTTAAGGTTTTCTTGAAAGCAAAATAACTTTTTCACAAATGGCCCATGCAAATCAACTTTTATGCTTCCGCCATATTACAATTATTTTGTTTGTTTTTTACATTCTTCGATTTTCAATCTATATTTCCTTGGATAGAACTTTATTTTAGTTAATTTAGCAATGAAAAAATATTTAAAATGCAAAAATCATGAGAAACAAAAATCTTGGCTAAGTTTAATGATCGATCTAAAGCATATATTTTTTTCTTAATGTAAAATAATTAGTAAAATCGATGTTTTCCGTGGGCGGACTCCAGTTTTTCGATGTTTTCACGTACATTTCACATCAAATTTTATATGGCATCTAAAACTAGGCCATTTCATGAGAACTATTTTATAATTTTGGAAATTCG